GGTTTTAGGCTTTTGGGTTTAGGGGTTTAGGGCTTTGGCTTTTGGGCTTGGGGGTTTAGGGCTGAGGCTTTTGGGGTTTAGGGTTTACGGCTTAGGCTTTTAAGGTTTAGGGTTTAGGGTTCTAGGGCTCAGGGGTTCAAGGAGCCCCAAGGCTGAACCGCCTTAAAGGGGAACCCTACTGTAGGGGCCTTAAAAACTAGAACAGGGTTTCGGGGTCCTTTATAATATAAATAGAACAAGGAACCCTTTAGGAATAGGATTGGTAGTTCTCTAGGCGTCTATGTTAACCACTTTACACAGGGAACCCTAAACCCTAAACCCTAAACACTAAACCCTAAAAACCAACCCCCTAAACCCTAAACCCTAAGAACTAAACCCTGAACCCTAAAAACTAAACCCTAAACCCTAAAAACTAAACCCCTAAACCCTGAACCCTAAACCCTAAACCCTAAACCCTAAAACCCTAAACACTAAACCCCTAAACCCCTAAACACTAAACCCTAAACCGCTAAACACTAAACCCTAAACCCTAAAAACTAAACCCCTAAACCCTAAACCCTAAACCGTAGACACTAATCCCCTAAAGCCCTAAGAACTAAACCCTAAACCCGAAACCGCCAGAAGGAGTTGGAAGCTGAAATGTCTGCCAGGAACCTGAGCTCCTCGCGCGCTGCGCACGGAAATTGCGAGGCCCGAACCTACCTCTAAAGGGTACTATAGGGGAATTCTCTAAATTAGGGTCCCTTTTTAGGTCCCCAATATAATGTAGGGGCCTTAATAATTAGAATATGGTTTTGGGGTATACCTTAAGAACCCCAAACCTATTTTTTGTAAGGTCCCTATAAAATCCCATATTAGGGTTTATAGTAAGAACCTACAAAAAAGTGGGTTTTGGGTTCTTAAGGTAGGGTTCGATAGTAGCCCCTTAAAAAGGGTACTATATGGTTCTGTGAAAGGACCCCTTAAAGGGTACTATATATCTAGGGGATGTACGGATGACAAGTTCTTTTTCTATCGCATGGATATACACTTGGCGTCATCCCCTTGCTGTTGGGGATCCGTTTTAGTTTAGAGGAGACCCTGAACACATGGAAAGCAGCTCGCACCTCAAGGATCCCCTGTAGTGGTGTAGTGGGAGGGAGCGTACGGGGTCTGGACGCCAACCCAGGGCTTGGGATTTGAGGGTTTCTGGCTAAACTCTCTCGACCTAGCCCTACACCCAAAGCCCCAAGCCCAGAACCCGAGGTTGGGAATCTCCTACTGTCGCAGAGACGCAGAACGCGGAACTGCTGTCACGCGTCTGAGCCAGAAGTAGGCGCACATGGATCGTAAAACTTAGCGATAGGGCTTAGGATTAAGGTTCCAAATGCCCTAAACCCCAAACCCTGCACCCAAAACCCCAAAAGGATTACGGTTCCAAAAATGTATACTGAAACACGCATGTCAGGCCTGTTCGCTCTCGAAGACTTGGCTTACAGTTCCATGAAATTCAACTCCAGGAGACAACTGCTTTACGTTCGTCATCAAAACAACTGCTGCGGCGCTACCAACCCTTTTCTTGGTAGTCCATGCCGAATCAGTGCTCGCCAACAACATCCAACAACTCAACGAGTTTCCGAAAACCACAGGCCGTGAGAGCAGAGAGCCACTTCCACATGCGTAATTAGGGGAAGCGCAACACGCAGAATGCACCTGATTATCAGATTAATGCAGGGGCCTTATAATCATTAGGATAGGGTTTGGGGGGTATCTTATACTATAGTTAAAATAAAGAACCCCGAAAACAGTATAGGTATGTATAGGTAAGTATTTCCTAAAGCCCTAAGCCCTAAACCCCTAAACCCCCAAACCGTAAACGTAAACCCCTAAACCCTAAACAGCCTGTACGCAACAACCAATATGGCGCAGATTGACATCAAGAATCCGGTCCAGCACATGGTGGTTGGTGATCCTTAAACCCCAAACCCTAAACTTAAACCCTAAACCCTGAATATATTTAGGCCCCTAAATTAAGTTGCTGACTCGCGGTCCGAGTTTTGGTTCCCGAATCACTTGGATCCTCGCTGCCCCCGTGTGACAAACATTGGTCCGGATTCCCCCTTTGTTTACAAAAACATGTGTGTGTGTGTGT